ATTTATAGTGGTGCTGAGGCTTGAATTCAGAACTCAGGGCCTGGGTGCTTTCCCTAAGCTTTTGTGCTCAAGGCTAGCACTCTACCACATCTTGAGCCACATCTCCATTTCTGGCTTCCCCACCCCCACCCCATCCTCAGATCTCAGTCTCCAGCATAGCTAGGATTAGAGGTGTGAGACCAATGATGAGCCAAAATGCTATTCTTCTGTGTGTCAGGCACTTTACATTTTTATCTCATTTAACCATTTTACCAACCTTACTATTTTTCTTCATATTTTACTCTTGAAGAAATTCAAACACAGAAATATGCACATAGTAAAGTTGACACAGTGAGACTTTGTATTTAATCTCAACCTCTCTTCAATGTGTGCACTTAAACAACTTAATCAATCAGTCATTGTTTCCCCGTTTCTATTAAGGCTAGTGATAACATTAACTTCATTGGCTTATTTGGAAGATTCAGTGTATTAGTATGTAACATGCTTGGAAAATACCTGATACATAGTAAAAGCCCAATAAACTGAGAATGATTTTTATTGCTATTTTTTTAAAGTTAATCTTTTGCAAAAAATGACTTTAACATTCACTTATGAGACATTGTCCTAACCTTAATATGACCTCTAACAATCTCCACCATGGAGCCATTAACATTTCTCTTGTTCCCTGCTCTTGCAAGGGCACAATTACATTTGCCATTTTTAGAAATCTTCCAACATTTCTGGTTTTTCTTCCCTCTCTTCCAGGCTTCCTCTTAGGATGTTTTGGACCTCACTTATATATATATAGCTGTATATAGCTGTTAGTGAACTCTGAACACTCAAATAATACTTCTTCTACAGGTTGCTCTATGTATGTCCTAGACTAACTCAGAAAATCCTATTATATCTTTTTGTAGAATTTTATTGATTTTCATATTGTCATAGATTTTGGTCACTGGCTTATCTAATTTACCTTAGATTTCACCTTACATAAGATGGGGAATTCAGATACCATGCTAACTTTTCATAACTGATACATTTGCAGCATCTGGCAAAGTTCAAAGCATGCATTTGAGTCTCAAATTTAAAATAGATAATTATGTCAAACTATGGAATTCATATTCTATATAACTTAATCTTACTTTCGTTCCTCAACTCCATGCTATTTGTACCACCATCTTTTCTCATGCCTGGGCTATTTTTCTACTGCTTACTTTACATTATGAAGTTTATGATCCTTGAACAGCAGTAAATATTTCTGTTATTTGAAACCTTAAATTTGTATATGTATATTATTTTGTGTGACTTAATGCTTACCAACCCTTATTCAATGATTGAAGTCATGACTTTCTTATTTCTAAAACTTATTTGACAGCCTATACTTTATGTTTCTAAAAAATACTGCACTCAACTTATTAAGATGCAATATGTAGATGCTATCAACCAAATTCTTCATAAAGAAATTGGTTCTTTACTTAACTATGGAGAAAATGTTTTAGCTCAGGTACAATGAGCCAAAGAGCCTCTCCAACTCCTCCAATGTAATTATTTCTTGCCACCAACCAAGCAAAGTGGCACATCTGTGAACTAGATGAGAAAGCCAGAATTAGACTGCTTCCCAAAAGCCCAGCAAAATGGACTCCTCCTGACACTCACATTTTGTGCCCAAAAAAGCCTTCTGCAGGAACAGGAAATTTGAAACTACACCGTGGGGATTCCCAATTGAATACTGTCATGTTCTTTTTCCCCATTTATGAAGAGGTGGAGACTGTTAGAAAGTGCTGTTATTTTCAGTACCTTCTGGGGGAATGAAACATAGCTGAGTCTTTGGATTTGATATTTATACAAGCAACATGCTTGAGATATGTTGGTATAAAATAGTTCAAAGAAAAGATTCTCTGCCTGTTTTCTTACCCAATTAAACATAAGAAACTTAAATTTGAAAAGAATGATACACTGATTTCTTTAGATCTTTATAAATATACTAACTAGTTAATAAGGCCTCACTTGATCACTTAGTGTGAAACTGAGCACTCATGTACGATGTCTCTCCATCATGCTTTTCCTTAATATTATATTTTACCACCAAATACTTATCACGCATATTGTTGTCTCCTCACACTAAAATTATAGGCAACATGTGTGTTGTTGAGACCTGATGGAGTTCTTATGAATTCTTAATTAACTTGGTGGTAGTTTGTAAGAAAGGCTACTATAATCACTTTAGTTTACCAACATCCAAAGGTATTAGGAAGATTTAGGAAATGGCCATGATAAGAACACGAGATACCCCAAGGGGCAAATTAAGAGGAAAAGGAGAGAGAATGAAGACACTGAAACAACCTTTTGTAAAATGCAAAGAGTTATCAGAATTCTTGCACATTTCATTTTTTCTTACTTCCTATACGATAAGGCCCAAATATCCTTACTAACAATAAAATCCCTTAAAAAACTGGCCCTTTGCTAGTTTTTCTAGTGAATTTGTTTCTTTACGCATAAAACTTTATTTATGGAAACAGGAACTGGCCCAAATTTGTTCCAGGGTTAGTTGTTTGCCTTCCATTGTCTAGTTTATTGAGCTCTATTATGCTAAGGCATTCTAAGATCTAGATTCTAGATTCTAAGGCCTATCTCAGCAATGTTACAACTAGCATGTCGAAATTTCAAGTTTGAAGCTGTTAGATAAAATATGGATAAAAGAGTACTTCTCGGCTATTTATTCTAATAGAATTTTCCTATATGTTTCAATTAACATTGTCTTATATCTTATTAAAAACTGGTTCATGCTGAAGATCTGGGACTATAGTTATTTAGATGGACATATATTTACTTAGTAAAAATTGGGTTTATTACCATAGATGCAAAGGAGAACAGATTTTGAATGGACTTCTAGCAATCTTTACCACAACCACCAGATTTTAATATGCTATTTACTTACTTATTGAAAGGTGAATTAGTATATATTTTAGAGTTGAGCTGAAGGAGAGTGTCATTCATCATCCTGGAAGCTCTCTTGGAGCCAACATATTGAATTTACCATTATTTTATCTTTTGCCCTTTTGATTTGTTTCTGGATCTCCAAGAAATGTGTGTGTGTGTGTGTGTGTGTGTGTGTGTGTGTGTGTGTGTGTATTAGCACAGAAAGGACTATACATTTAATTTTTATTTATTTTTTATTGTGAAAATACTGTACAGAGGGGTTATAATTACATGGGCAAGATAATGAGTACATTTCTTATCAAGCATTGTAACCTCCTCCTTTGTTTCCCCTTCCCATCCCAGGACTATACATTTTTAAATGAATAAATGATCTACAATTACTATCAGTTAAGATTTGGAGATTATAGGCAATAGAAGACTGATTTGAGTCTAATTAGTCTATCATTTTTTAAAATATGTAATTTTTGATAAACACAGTAATTATAGATTTGTATGTAGCACAACAGTCTATCTTAAGATATATGCATACATTATATAGAGACATGTATATATATATATATATATAATACATTTTATTCTTTATTAAAAGGCCATTGCTAGCTTCTGGAAATGACAAGATAGCTGGAGAATCAGGCTCAGAAACGGACAGGTATCCAATTATTTCTGTAATGATTTAGGCACAACTATTTTCACCCTGTCCTCGAATCAATCCACTCAACATTTAAAGCCCCAGGAGACAGCATGTAATGTGCCAAATGTGACTGAATCATCCGTCTCCCTTTGGATAGAGGAGGACAGAACACATTGTTTTTATACCCAAAGTGCATGCAACTGTAGAGAAGCAAAGAGTTAGGATAAAATCAGTGTGAAGGATGAAATCAGCAGGAGGAAACTGGGTTTTTCCACAGTAGGCTTCATTTCCTTTATAGCATGATACGCAGTTAATCTCAGGAGTACTTTTCTTTTATTTTCCTTTTTTATTCTTTTCTCTTCTCTTTTCTCTTCTTATCTTTCTTTCTTCTTTCTTTTTTGAAATTAAATAACAAACTATCACCTCATAAAGCTGATTTAAGCCATTACAAACAAATGAAATCGAAAGTATGACAACAAAAATCAAACAAATGAAAACAAAAACAAGCCAGCACTTGCTGTCACTGCTGTTGTTGTTGTTTTTTTTCTTTGTTTTTCCCCCACTCCAAGAAGGACCAAGATAGGACAGTGAGAACTTTGTAATATTGAAGAACAGTAAAGAGGCCAAAGACTCATAGACCTTTGTTGGAATAATGCTTAGTTAATGATACGTGTATAAGTAAAATTTTCAATGACACCATTCTAAAGGCTAAGTAATTCTACAAACCAAGCAAATCTTTCTAAGTACTGCATTTTCTAAAAAGATTATAGTGTCAGTCTGGTTGGTTACTGTCACTGATAACAGGTGTAACCCTAATGGGTTTTACTTTTGAGCTTCACAGATTTGCCAGGGAATATAAGTCCATGAGAACTTGTGAATTTATTTTATAAAGTGTAACTCCAATTTAAATGATGAAACTATCAGTGTTAATTCTTCAGATATTTGGAATTTATTTAATTTGGCAAACTTACTGGAATTAAAGCATACTAAAATCTGAACTCATTCTCTTTATTTAATTGCCACAGAAAATTATAGAGCTGTATGATGAAAGTATGTTCATTATGCACCATTCAAACACAGTAATGTAAGTCTAGTGAACTGACAAATTGTTCAGGAAGTTAAAATGCTTGTTTACATTCCATTGATAAGCTAGTTCTTGATTTATTATGTAATGTTTAAATATTTAAGAATTGATGGGTCCAGACTGATAAAAGTGTTCATTTTAGTTATTGGAAAGTAGACTTTAAATCCTTAGATATTAATTTACTTTTGTAAAGCTAGGCATTGTAAAAATGGTCTGCACATTTTGTACTCTTAATTACCGACATGATGTATTAAGACTTGTAGTTAAAATGTCAAAAATCCAAAATTCTTTATACATAACATTTAATCTTGAGTTTTTTTCCCTGTGAAAGAATGCTAGTCTTTTGAACATCATGCTTTTCTTTCTACAGTGCTTAATACATTATTGAAACTACAAACATCTACAGAAGTTTAATGTGGACAGAGTTCATATTTTGAAAGCCTGCAATGTTTTATCATTAAACATGCAATGTGGAATCTTTGAAGCATAGAGTTCTGCCCTGAATGAAGAATCTCTCACCTGGGATGTAAGCAAACTTCTCATCTCCACCATGACGAACCAGGAAAAATGGGCCCACCTCAGCCCCTCTGAATTTTCCCAACTTCAGAAATATGCTGAGTGTAAGTACTATTGCTGGTAATATGATTTTACTTGGCTTTGTATTAAACAAAGTATCACTTACTAGGACATATTACAGATCTTACTCATAACGGAGACAGGTGCCATCAGGCTTTTGTGTTTACAAGGATTTCAGCTTGAGAGTAATTTTATGGCATGGAAAAAAGAAAAAGATCAATTAAATCAAACATCAAATCCTAAAAGACAAGAAACTAGAATACTAGATGAAAGAATTTGAGCTTGGAAAACACTCTATCTCTAATAAGAATAAGGAAAAAAATCTGATAAACTAGCAAAATGGAACTTATTGAAATGGAGGAAAAAAGAACTTATACACAGAAAATAAAAGCCTATATTATGCATTATTAAATATAATATGACTGATAGATATCAGGTAGAAAGAGAAAGTCACTTTTTTTCTTTTATTTGTTTCTCCTACTTGTTAACCTATCATTTCAGGAAGGACTGGAAGTAGAAGTAAATCTACTGTGAAATTCTGTCTTTATAATTGTGTTTAACTTCAAACTAGAGCTGTCAAAAGAAAAAAAAATGAGGGCCATATGCTGTCTTGGTTAGTGAATTAATACAAATTATAGTCCATGATAATCATCGGAATGGTAAAATATTTAGAATGTTTCACTATGCATGTGAAGCAAGATTTTCTTTGCTAAGAAATTATTTTACCAGGCATACTTTAAGATCATCTTCCTCTCTCCCCAAAATGCTTCTCGGCTATAAATATGAATCACAGCTAAGTCATGTATTGAAGAGCAAAAGGTGGCAACTGAGCAATAGGAAATACACAAAAGGCTTATGAGGCTTAGACAATAAATACAGTAATCTGTAGAGAATACAATAAGAACCTATAATACTGTGATGACTAAGGGGATAAAATTACAAGAAATGCAGTAGAAGAAAATGAGCCAATAGCACATAATAAGGAAAGAGACAAAAAATGAAATAGTTGGTGATACTCATGGAAAGGAGGTATGGCATGTAGGAATGAACTGATGGTGAACATCAGGAATAAACTAACGAATGTGAAGGAGAACTAGAGATAAAAGTTAAACACAGAAGCTGGTTTGGAATATAAAAGAATCAATATGAAGATAGCGAATAATAACACATTGATGGTTTACATACTGATTCAGGAAACACTAGTAATACTCCATATTATGAAAGACACCCTTTAAAGTCATTTTTCTTTTTTTGAGATAGGGTAATCTCTAACCCAAGTTGACTCCAAACTCATGAGTTTCTTGCCTCAACATCCCAAATGCTGGGATTACAGCAAAAATTCCTAAACTAAATTACCTGAGATACTCTAAGTTTAGGAAGTCCCTTCTAAGTTTAGAAGTTCTTGTTCCTTGTGAATAATTGTAAAATTACAACTACTACTATGTCAGAAATTTTTGAAGTCAAACTATAATAAACATACTAAATACTATTTAGGGATACTGAAATCTATCCTTTTATCCATTCCCTTTTGCATCCTTTTATCATGTAAGACAAAATTTGCCCAGAATAGCTGTATCTGTGCTTCTTGCTTGCAATCATATAGCTGATATTTTTTAACTGGCTCATAAAATACCTATGATTCTTATTTTCATATATTTTTTTGCTACTTCAGTATGCCTAACAGTAAGTGGATAAATGTGGGCATCTACATTAGGTAAGATTCTTTATGGTGCTGCACAAGATGTAAAATATTAACAAGTTTCAACTTTCCTCTCAAGGAATTTACAATGGCAAGAAGGCTAGAAAATAGTAGATAAACACGTGTCTAGGCAAATAAGTATAAGGTTCTGTAGGTTGTTCACGGTCAAATGAAGATGAGAAAAGAGGTCTTCAAGGAAAAAGTGGGATTTAAAATGTATCTTGAAATCTATAATGTACACAAAATGACAAAGAAAATGATAGTATTGAAAGGGAAAAATTGAGAAAGAGGTGAGACACACTTAGCTACATCATAACTTAAATAAGTATAGTTAAGGTTATAAATATGGGATGAATCAGAACATGCAATGCTAAACTCAGACCGTGAGGAATCACTGTAGGGCTGTAAGTGGTGGTGTCAAATGAGTAATGTTCTGAGATAATGAACTTGTGAAGTGGAATGCTTTGACATTTCAGCCTATGGCCACTTGGCCCCATTGCTTTCAGACAGCACATGAGGTGGCACCTTCCATCAGAATAAAGCTATGGGAAAAAAAAGATATTCACTTCAGTACTAGGAAGAGAATAAAAAGAGGAAAGGACAGGGGTCTCATTGACCATTCAAAAAATGCCCCAAAGACCAGAGGACCTCTCCCAAAGACCTCTCCTTTCAAAGTTTCTCTCATTTCCCAATAGAATCAAGCTAGGGATCAAACCTTTCATACATGTTCCTTTGGAGGAACATTTAAGATACAAATTTAGCAATGATACTGGAAAATAGTTAGATTCCAGGAAGTCAGATGACTTTTAGAATAGGCTAAAATTATGATTTATTACAATAATAGAGGTTAAAGTAGTGTGTTATTGAAACTATGAGATAAGGTCTTGGGAAATAATAAAGCACAAAGAGAGAAAAAGAAAGATGAGAACAAGGAAAAAAGTAAAGAAAAAAGAGGAGAGACTTCAGACTAATATCTCAGATTTGACTTTGATGAAGATTATGATATTGTAGTGAAATAATTCTTCAAGTAAAGGCAACCCTGATTTTGGTTTGTGTTATATTAAACTTGGCTTGATTACTAAAATCTATTGTGTAGAGTTTGGGGAAAAGGTTTATGAAAGCATAAAGAGGCAAATTATTGCTCTTATAGTAAACCTGTCATTGATAGATAGCATTGCTCACATGGAGAAATTTCATTTGAAGTAGTATGCTGAGAGACATTTACTCTAAAATATTAGACATACTATAAGCTACAGCTTGTATTTTAGTAGCTTAAGAACATAGGGGCCCAAACCCTTTGTTGGTTAAAAATACGATATATTGAGAATACATCTAATATACCTACATATCCTACTGAACAGCATGGCTTAATAAGACAATATAATTCAGAGTGTCAGTCATTCACTTTGTAATTCTGTGGCAGACAAGAATTATAGCTAGCCACAACTCTGTAGCTCTCTCAGAAAGAATTAAACCACATATGTTATTAGCCTGTAAACAGATAAAAATTTCAAGTAGGTCTTCAACTGAGTGTGCTTCTTCTTTCATCATCAACACAAAGTCTAAATTCAAAGTTAAATCATCATAAGTCTAGTAATAAGTCATAATAATGCTGGAATCAATTTGCTATAATGCCTAAAACAAGTGGCAATAAAAATTACCACAGATGTTCAGAATGTCTCATGCCTATAATCCTAGCTCCTTGGAAAGTTGAGGATCATAATTCAAAGCCAGGCGGGGCATGAAAGTCTGAGACTCTCATCTCCAATTAAATGGTATAACACTAATCTTTTGTAAAAAAAAAAAAAAAAAAAAAGCTCTATCAGGGGTAATATCTAGGCCCTGAGTTCAAGCCCCAGAACTGGCACTAAAAAAAAAAAAAGCAAAAATTGCAATGTATTGACAATAAGTTTAATTGATGTTTAGTAATTTGGTAGCAGACAGTGATGCCATTGATGCAAAACTTCAATGGAATTTACGAGCAAATTGTAAATTATGAATAAGATATACTTCCAAAATGGAATTTATAAGCAAATTACAAACTATAAATAAAAATACAGTTCTAATTTTATGATCACTACATTTGCAACCAAGACAACATGAAAATACTAAATACATATGTATATATAGTATATATATTACTATAAAAATTACTATTTAAATTACTATATTACTGCTATATAAATTACTGTTATATATTACTACATAAAATTACTATATATGTAGTTATATGTATATATATATATATATATATATTTCTTTTCCAACAAGTTTAAATTTACTGAGTAACTAGTAAACAGAGTATCACAATAGTAATAAATTGCCCTTTTGAAAAGATACCTGAAGGCATACTTATTATCTGAAGATTATGAAGGGTATCTTTTCCCTGATGTTCAATATATATGACTGGTATGTGTCAGAGATATTTAAACATCAATTTTTTTCATATTATAATACTGTGTTGGCAAATTGACTCTTTTCCCACACTATTTTACAAAAAAAGGTTTATTAGATTGACTTTTCTGATTTTATGTGCTTTACATATTTTGTGTATGTATCTGCTGATTCTGTGGTTTGAACTCAGGGCCTGGGCAATGTCTCTGAGCTTTTCTGGTCAAGGCTGGTGCTCTACCACTTGAGCCACTGCTCTGCTTCTGGATTTTTGGTGCTTAACTGGAGATAAGAGTCTCACAGAATTGCCTGCTTGGGCTGGCTTTGAACTATAGTCTTCAGATCTTAGTCTCCTGAGAAACTAGGATTATAAGCATGAGCCACTGGTGCATGTGTGTGTTTGGTAGCTTTTAATAACCAATGTTTATATCTATCAACTTAGTAAAATTTAAAATTATTAATTTAACAGCTCACACATGACATTATCTATGTAATTTATAAAATAAGTATTTTTAAAGGTATATTTGAGGTATGGAATTGAGCTATGGCTTTTAAATAAATTTATTCTTATGGAAACACAGAGGGTTACAGTTACATAAGTCAGATAATGAGTACATTTCTTTTGAGCAGTGTCACTTCTTCTCTCCTTTCCTCCAAGTTTTTCCTTCATAAGCCTTTCCCCCACAAGTTGTATTGTTCATTTTCAACATATTATTTAGTGAGTGTCACTGATGTATTTGTTCACCCTTTGTCCCACCATTTCTATGCTCCCTTTTATTCTCCCTAACAGATAAACTTAAACAGATAAACTTAAAAATAAGACAAAAAGTATAGAAATAAAAAACAACAACAAAGGAGGAAAAAATAAACAAGAGGCAAAATAACATAAAACCTTTTGTTTCTAGTTCTTGGAGTTAATTTATATATACATCATTTACATCATCATATGCCCAT